ATTCCTGTCCTTTCTCTCGCTCTTTCTCTACGTGTCTGCAGTCTATCACTGCCTCCCCCTCCTTCAGTCATGTATCAGTCTCTAATTGCTACATGCAGTATTAATGCCGTTGTCGTTCTTCCTTCCAGGTTAACAGCAGGTGATCTGTCTGTCCAGCTGAATTTCAACGATTACCTGGACATCCACTGCCCCCACTACCCCAACGAGGAGGCCGTGGTCACAGGCAGCCGGAGACCCTTGCCCTCTACCTGGTGGGAGAAGAGTCGTTCCAAGGCTGTGTAGAGACCAGGGGGGCCATCAAGAGGTGGGAGTGTAACACCCCTTTTGCTCCATATGGACCAGTGCGCTTCAGAAAAGATCCAAAGGTTCACGCCCTTCTCACTGGGGTTTGAGTTTCTGCCAGGGAGACACTACTACTACAGCTGTGAGTAGATGATGTGTATGTTTTTGTGTGTTGGGAGAGGGTAAACCGATTTAGAGAGTCAAACATATCACAGCTTGAGCTCAGTGTTATATGAAATTTTCTGACATGCCTGATGTTTGATGATCAGTCATGTGACAGATATAACAAATAGATACACCGTTAGTTATTTAGCAGCCATACAAAAAATTCCTAACTTAATTGTCTGATTTTTAGAGATATCAAAAGTCAAACATGTCTTAATATGCAACAATTTTGAAGCTTATATGCAGACAAATCGGTCTGCAAGTTGTTGTTGTTATTTGTTGCTTTGATTCTTGTCAGTTTCCAGAAATATGAATAAATGGATACAAATTTTCCATTATATCAGTGCCCTGAGATTTTTTGTCCAGCCAACAAACACCATCTGATTTTTAGTTTAGCATAAGAAGAATGTTGCTTTGAATCTGAAGTATTTAATATTAAAAATGTTAAGTATTAATATGAGTTAAGCATCTAAAATCATTAGTATTAATCATTATTTTGTTTCTATCTAACTCCTAATGGCACATTTCGGGGCATTTCAGCACTACAGTTGGCATTTCAGAAGCATCGATATGGTATTGATATTAATTCCCAGCCTTTGTCACGTGATTATTTAAATA